GCCACCAGGCTACACTTGGCACGCGCCCACCCACAAGTCCTCTGGTGGGCAGTGGGGGCAGTTGGGGGTGGGGAGGGGCGCGCCCCTGCGGCCGGCAGCAGAAGCCCACCTGGCGGGCTGAGAGCACACCCAGGACACAGCACTGCGAAACCGAAACGGGGAGGTGTCTGGAGGAGCGGCCCCTCTTCTGCACGTTCCCACACTTTTCAAAGGACTTTCTACCGCTTTGATAATGAGACAGCAGAGCCCAGAGCCCAGAGGTCACACAGCAGAGGGAGGCCTCAGGCCAGCCACCGGCTCCTCCAGCCTTCTTCCCACTGGCCTCACTCTGACTCGGTAACCCTGCGGTATCACCTAGATGGAACAGCAGAACTGGCCAAGATACAGCTCATCGGTGAGGGCAGTAAGAGAGTTGAGAGGTGGCTTGGGGTGGGGAAAGGTACTTGGAAATCAAGTCCAGGTTCAAATCCAGCTCCATCACACAGTCGTGACCTCATTTGGACGGGAAAAAGGCCAGCTCCTCCTTATAATGGCTGTATCCACTCATCCAGCCCGCAAACATTTATTAAGATAGTAGGGCGGCTGTAGCAAATGGGAGTTTATCTGCTTGACCAGTTATAAGCTCAGTGCCTAGCTCAATAAATGTCTGAAGGGCATAAACAATAAAAAAAAAAAAACCAATATAATTTAAGATAACGAAGGCTGAGGAGCGCTGACAGAAAGGGGTGCCTTACGGGGTATCAAGGAAAGCGCTCTAAGAAAAGGACCTTGGAACTGAGACCTGAAGAATGAGGAGGAACAAGCCAGGCGTAGAGCCTTCTAGACAGGGCCACCGCAAGCATAATGGTCTTGAGGCAGGAGTGGGGAAGTTTCCCAGGTGCGAGAGAAGGCCAGTGTGTTTGGAATGTGGCAAGCAAGGAAAGAATGGCAAGAGATGAAAGGAGGGCAGAAGCCAGATCAGGTGGGGCCCCACAGGCCTTAGCAGAGGCTGAGTTGTATTCAGACCCCAAGAGGTCAGTAGTGAATTCGCAGGTTGTCGGGATTTAGAGAGAGGGGAGATACCCCTGTCAACCCCAAAGAATTGCTGAGGCCTGGAAGAGGTCTGTGACTCACCTGATACTCCTCCCCTCTGAATCCCAGCAACCGAAGAATTCACGATGGCTCCTGCACTGTAAGACCCCTCTGCAGCCCCTTCCCCACGTGCTGCCACCTCTCAGAAACCACCCCAGCAGACAGACAGCCGAGGCTCACTCCGGGGAACAAACTCTGTCAAGCTGGACAGGACATACCCCCAAGTCACTGAACTCGAAACAACAGTCCTAGGAAGTGAGCACATTTAGGTCCATTTCACAAGGAAATGGAAATCAAGGGCGGGCGGGGCAAGCATTAAAAGCTGGTAAATGATGGCGCATCATCACCACTCACTCAGAACAGCCAGAGCCACAGTCCTAGCTACAAACCTGATCTCCCCTCTGAAAAAGAACTCAGGGGGCCTGTGACTCCCACAAATTTAAGATCTCTTGACCACATCCTTCCCTCTTCCTTCTCTTGAGCCAGACCTATCCATGCCTATCAGTCCCACTCAAAGGGAAAAGAACAGTAGACCTAAACCCGCAGGGTGATTCATTCATGCCAGGCACTGTGCCAGGTGCTGGTGGAAGGCAAAGTCTCTCTCTGTCCTCATAGTTCTTACAACAGCCCTTCCAGGCAGATACTGGAAGATACTCTCCTAGCCCTGTGAAGCACAGAGAACGAGGTGGCTTCCCAAGCTCTAGCTGACTCCAGAATTGGACCCTTTAACCTTGTAGGACACAATTTCCTGCTAAGCAGGGACACTAAGGGCTCAGCTCCCCCATAATCAAGGTGGAGGAACATCAGCTCCTTCAGGGCCCAGGGCTAGTGGTCTGGACCACAGCTGCAAATTCCCGGCAGATCCAAGGCTCTCAAGAGAGATAACATCTGGTTACCCAGCAACAGCCCTCCCCCGCCTACCCACAGCTAGGCCAGAGCCATCCCAAGCGCAGGTCTCCACACCTGTGGCTGGCTAGGGGGCGGAGCTCCACAGCCCGAGTCTCAGGTGGAAGGCATGCACCTCACAAAGAAATTGAGGCTTAGAGCACAAGGACCTTGCCCAAGGTCAGGCTTAGAATTCATATTTCAGGACTTCTGCCCCAGCACAGTCCAGAGGTGCTGAGGGTCCCCAGGCAGTCACAGCTGCTCAGACTGCCAGTCCCGCCCACCTGAGGGAGGGGGTTCTGGGACCAGAGAAGACACATTGCCCCCAGCCACACCCCCAAAGACACCGCACTCCGGGCAGCTCGGAGGCAGTTCCTGAGCTCAGATACAGTCCACCAACACAGGTATGCAGGCAAGCACCTCCAAAGTCTCCCACTGGGTCACCTCTACAGGTGGGTGCCCTCTTCACACACTGAAACAGGCACAGACTCACACAGGGCCCTGCCAGGTGGCCACGTGTACAGGAAGGCAGGTGCCTGTATCTATCACTGTGGGGCTTTTCTCCGCCGGGGGGCAGGGGAAAAGGGGGGCCAAGGCCACGGGCCTGTGCACATGCAAATGTGCGCATGCTTACACACTGTCTTGGCAACATCCTCCTTGGAGTGAGGCCTCAACCTGCCCCATTCCAAAGCAAGGGGCGGGGGCAGAGGCTCACCCACAGCCGGGCAGGTCTGACTCAGGGGAGAGGAATGAGGGGGGAGGGCACATCTGCCCAGGTGGCCTCTCTCAGGAACTGGAATCCTGGAGACTAGACCCTGTTCCCCACCCTCCTCCACCCCCATTCCTGTGACTTCCCCTGGTCAGGCCAGGCCAGGAGCGAGGAAGCAGCGTGTTCAGGGCTCCCAGTCTCAACCCCTCACTGTCCCGGGAGGGCCAGCCAAGGCGCAGAGCGGGCCGGGGCCTCGGCAAGAGCAGGACCCAGAGCACATGAGATTTTCTTCTCTTAGAAGCAAGACAAAGAGAAAGGAATGTAACAAAAACTTTCAAGTGGAGGGCTTTACGGCTCTCTGAACACTTTCTCTTCTGTCTCAGAGAAACCTGGAAGGTGTGTGTGACAAGCCCTTTTTACAAAGGAGCACAGGAGGTGCAGGGGAAAGTGACCTGCTCAAGGTCACCCAACCGGGAAGCAGGCCAGCCCTGGGTCTCACTCCGAATGTCTGAGAGTCCACCAGCCTGCGGGAGCTACGGGTAAGGGGCCACAGCCTCAGCTCCTGCCCAGAGAGGGGAATTCTGTACCCTGCTTTGGAGACAGGGAATTCCCCTCCTTGCTTCCCTTGGTGATGCCCCACCCGAGGGGGTGGCAGGGCTGACAGGCCGGTTCTAAGGTAAATATTGGGGGGCAGGGAGTGTCTGCACTGGGAGGGGAGGATCCCATCCCACAGGTGCCTGAGGGAAGAAGCAGTTGTTCAGGGAGGAATTAGCTACAATAATATTAATAAATGTCATAACGAGTTTCCGGGTCAGTATCTGCTCCTAACAATGACATAATAATCTCTTTCAGGCAGGGAGCAATTTTGACTTTCCAAAACCCTTTCCTTTGTTTCTTCAAGGCATGAATATCCTCACTTTATAGATGCTGGAGAGGTAGCAACCATGAAGTCGAGAGTTAAAGGCTGGGAGTCAGGAGGCCTGGATTCTAAGCCATGGACCCACGAATCAACTTCTGGCCTCAGTTGTCTCATCTGTAAAGTGGGCCTAATATCCACCTCAGGGTGCCTGGGAAAGGTAAAGAAAGTCAGGCAACCAATTGTAAGCACAAGTATTGTAATGGGGAGGGGGGTAGAGAGCCCTCTCAAGCCTTCTGCCTTTCCACTACAGCACAATAATAAATTAGCACCTGTTGAGTACTAACTGATTAAGACAGACTAGGGCTCACTAAGTCCCATCACTTAACAGGCACTCCCCAAGGGTCAGTGACTTTCCCAGGGTCACACAGCCAGTAAATGCAGTCAGGATGTGAAGCAGCTATGACAGGCTACAAAATGTCCCCAAGTCACCAGAGGCCTCCTCTCCCACCCACTTCCGGAGCTCTCTACAAATCTCAAGTGGAGTGAAGGGCCATTATTAAGATAACGTTTGATAAGGGATACTTAACATGAGCTCCCTATCACTCCTCTCAGTAAGTCCAGCCCATCTGGCAGCCCAAACCCGCCTCTTAGGGAGGAAAGGGGATTCTGAGCCAGGACCAGACCATCCTGCCAATCAGGAACCCTAAGTTTGAGCTCTTGGTCCCTCTCAATTACAAAATGATCCTGACCCCAAGATTCTTTACCTATAAGGTAGGAGAGCTAGAATGATGACCTCCAAAGAGCCCCTGGATGTGGCCCACTTTTGGGTCAGTGTCTAGGGCAACAAGGGTGGTCAGCTTATCTCAGATCTCCCAGACCAGAGAGGGCTGGGCCAGCCCCTTATCTGGAAGCCCAGGGCTCCCCCAAGTTAAGTCTAGAGTTGATCTCACATCTGCCCCCCAAGAAAGGGGAAGAGACATAAGGAGAAGCTGGCCCCACCCCCTTCCTGTTGGAGGAGTGACCTCTCAGAGCTAGGGAACCTACCTAAAACCCTGCCACAGCAGCTTGAGAGGCAAGGGGAGGGGTGAAAAGAATTCCAACTGATTCCCCCAATGTCTCAGTTTCCTATCTGCAAGGTGAGAACCGTAAATCCTACCAGGAGGATGGCCCTGTGTGTAAGACAGTCCGATGCATGTGAATAGGCAGCGAAAGCTCCTCACGCAGTCCTCTGGCCTTCCCCAGGCGGCCCAGGACCAAGTGCCTTGGCTGGCCCATGTGGGGAAGGTTGCGTTGGAACCAAAACCAAACAATCTCGGCCGGTCACGGCATCTTCCCAGCGGTGAGAAGGCTGCTCTCTGTCCAACCGCAGTCTTCTCTACCGTTCACGAGCATCTGACCAATGGGACCAACCCTTCCTACATCTAGCTTTCTTCTCCCACTTCCCACCTGCTCCTTCCCTGAGCCCACGGGAGCTTCAATGCTTAGTCCTCAACCCCTGCTCTCCACCCACAGTGCGTTCCCCACTTGTGTTCCCTGCAGAGTCCAAATTCCCCACAGCCTCAGGCCTTCTTTGCCCAGATCTGCAGGCCCCTCAATCACAGGTGGAAACCCATCTACCCTTAAACAGGAATCTGACAGATCTGGGTTTGAATCCTGGTTCAGCCAACTCCACGCTGAGCAGCTCTGGGCAGTGTCTTCACTTCTCTGAGCCCTAGTTTCCTTCTCTGTGCAAAGGGGAGACGAGCCTCCTGCCTGAAACTGTGGAAGGGCTGAGCACGGGGTCTTTCTCTTCACCGCTGCATTAGCTCTGCTACCAACCCCCAGCAAAGCAGCCTCAAAAGTGGAGCCTTGACAGCCCTCTCTGGCCCTCACTGCCAACATCTGCTTAGTTCCTGGTCCTATCACTCTGCCACCTCCTCCAGGGTGTCTGCGTAGCTGCCACTCCTTTCTACTCCCTCAGCTCTCACCCTGTCTCTGGTCCTCACCTCATCACCTCTCCCCTGGATTGCTGCAACAGCCTCCTCACGGCTTGCTGATCTTCCACTCACCACCCTGCACCCCAACCTGTCCTGCCTAGACCTGCCCCCACCCTGGAGCCATCTTCCTAACACACCACTTTCCTAGGCCCTCCCGTGCTCGGACACCCTTGCTGGCTCCCCATGGTCTGTAGACTCCATCCCTGTTTGTCTCGAGTTCTTTCCCTCATTCTCTCGCCGGCTAGTCAAGTGGGTAAGAAAGGACACAGCCCCACTTCACACCTGAGACTTCACACCTGACAGCAGAGGTGGAGGCCGGGAAGACCCTGAATCCTCAGCACAGGTTATTTACTCAAAGGAACTGAAGCTTGCATTCACAATGGAATTTCTTCTCTCAGGCACAAGGAAGGCGCCTCAACTTCTGTTAACTCCAACCTCCACACTCACCCACATGGCACCCCTGGCCATGTTCTCTCATTTAATCAACAATTCAGTACTAATTCCGACTCTGCAATTGTTCAAAGACCAAACTAAGAAATCTCCCAGTTTTCTAAAGCTGAACCCCCCCCAACCCAAAAGCCTTCTGATACATAACCTAGAAGATTCCTCAGTCCCCACACTTACTTCTGCGTTGCCTTGACATTGGTTTGGGGGAAAAGAGGCACCTAAGCGAGAAGACCCTCGATGTGCAGCAGGAACTGAAGCGAAGAAGTTTGCTATAAGTCTCTTGGCTCTTAAGGGCCAGCAGGCAGGAGACTATAAACATAGCCCTCTTAATCTCTCTCCCCACCACAAACAGTCACACGACTAGTTCCACAGTTGCTTCATAGGAAAACACCAGATTAGCGTGGTCACAGGAGAGTAGATGAAGAGCCCCTGCCCAATCCCACCCTCTCAAGACAGATTCTAAGAGACCAGTGGGCACAGCCCAGATTTCAGGGTGACCGGAAGGTCCAGGAGACCCTCATCAACTCACCTTCTGAAGATGCCTAAGAACTCAATTAAGCCTTATTCTGCTGCTATTTTGATTATCATTGTTACTCAAACCCATGAAACCAATGACCTTGGACAAGCCCCCCTTTCTAGACCCCGGGTATTCATCCACAAGAAGGTGAGCCAGAACTGTTAAGGGTCCCAAGAAGTCACCTAAGCTAAGTCCCCCCTAGTTTCACAGACTGGCCCCCCTGTAGAAGGGGGACACGAGGGGGCCTCAGGCAGAGGAGGTACACAGAAGTGAAAACAATCTGCTCAAGGTCACCAGAGCCCAGACCAGAGTTACACTGAGAACCCAGATCCCCAGTTCCCAGCCCAGACTTCCCTATCACCCCCTGTGTGTAGGAATGAGATCATCCAGCTCAGCTCTGAACCTCTAGGAATGTGGGCCATCCTGGGAAGATATGGGTGGATTCTCTCCACACAGTAGCTCCCCCCACACACACTTCTGCGGGGTTCTATAGCTAGCTCAGATCTTCAAGTACCCACCTTAGTTGGAGACCCCCTACCTCCCAAGGGTGTAAGGGGTGGATCCACCACCTTGCTCCTACCCCACCTCTGGATTCACCAGGTAAGAGAATTATGCATACTACACCTCTCCTCCTGCACCCCTTGGTACTCTGGGGGATACCATGAGCTGCGACACCGCGTGGGGGAAACCAAGAGCACAGGACCCCAGCTCTGGGGCTGAGGCCTCCCCATTTGCCACCCTCCCCCCACTTGGAGGCAGGAATGTGACCCGCGGAGGGATCCCTCAGCGCGGAGGGCAGGGCTGCGTTCCAGCTCGATGGCTGCACTGAAAGGGGGGAGATGCGACAGCGACCACAGGGACCGTGGGTGGGGGTAAAGGGGGCGGGGAGACGCAGCAGCAGCGGCAGCGGCGCGGGGAGCGGCCCTTCACCTGCATGGAGTGCGGGAAGAGCTTCCGGCTCAAGATCAACCTGGTCATCCACCAGCGCGGCCACATCAAGGAGGGGCCCTACGAGTGCGCCGAGTGCGAGGTCAGCTTCCGCCACAAGCAGCAGCTCACGCTGCACCAGCGCATCCACCGGGCGCGCGGCGGCTGCGCGTCCCCGGAGCGCGGGCCCGGCTTCGCCCCCAAGCACTCGCTCAAGCCGCGCCCCAAGTCGCCCAGCTCCGGCAGCGGCGGCGGCGGGCCCAAGCCCTACAAGTGCCCCGAGTGCGACAGCAGCTTCAGCCACAAGTCCAGCCTGACCAAGCACCAGATCACGCACACGGGCGAGCGGCCCTACACGTGCCCCGAGTGCAAGAAGAGCTTCCGCCTGCACATCAGCCTGGTGATCCACCAGCGCGTGCACGCCGGCAAGCACGAGGTCTCCTTCATCTGCAGCCTGTGCGGCAAGAGCTTCAGCCGCCCGTCGCACCTGCTGCGCCACCAGCGGACTCACACGGGCGAGCGGCCCTTCAAGTGCCCCGAGTGCGAGAAGAGCTTCAGCGAGAAGTCCAAGCTCACCAACCACTGCCGCGTGCACTCGCGCGAGCGCCCGCACGCCTGCCCCGAGTGCGGCAAGAGCTTCATCCGCAAGCACCACCTGCTGGAGCACCGGCGCATCCACACGGGCGAGCGGCCCTACCACTGCGCCGAGTGCGGCAAGCGCTTCACGCAGAAGCACCACCTGCTGGAGCACCAGCGCGCGCACACGGGCGAGCGGCCCTACCCCTGCGCGCACTGCGCCAAGTGCTTCCGCTACAAGCAGTCGCTCAAGTACCACCTGCGGACCCACACGGGCGAGTGAGCCCCGCCCGCCGCCCCGCGCCG